ACAGTACAATTTGACCTATGCAGATTTAATCCCAACAGTACACACACGAAATGCAATCAAATATTCAGATGCTTTAGACCAACTGGTTAAATTCACTTCAATTTAGCAATAACCTGGCGTGAACCCATAATATAGAAATGCCTCATGTTTCTGGCAATTTCATAGTTAGGAACATTCTCAGCCCAAGGCTGCATACTCAATTAACCTGTCTCATGTCCTTTGTGAATTCGCCTAACCCATTCTATTCATTAGATGCAGTCACTTTAAAATTAAATGAACAGCGCATGTTCTGCCTGAAACTATGCTTCTAAAATCAGAGGTTCTGGAGAACTCAGAAGTGATATAAAATGGGTTCACACCCCTTAATTAGTTGTTTCTATTTTAATCATCCTGACAGCAACTCAGTTTGTTTGTTGGAAAGAAAAGAGAGAGAGAGAGAGAGAGAGAGAGAGAGAGAGAGAGGAGAGAGAACACAGATGCCTTTTCTATGAAAGAAAGATTGCACTGTCATCTAATCAACGAACACAACTTGGGGCTTTTACATAAGGATTATATATGTAAAACCATATTCATGACTAGACTCTTATATCGTGTTCTTTATACAGATTCGGATTAGTTAAAACTCCAGATCAGAAGCCATCCTGCATGTTCTACAAATTATTAGAAGACCAGCTTGAGGATTCAACTTGGAGAAGCTCTGGACAGATGGTAGGAAACTGGGCATTTCATTACATTTCAAGTCCTGTGTGGCCTAGTTTGGAGGGAGAAACTAATTTAGCCTCATTCCTTCCTCAATCTAGAGCTCATCAAGCCTAACAAGCAAGAGAGGAACTATATTGTTCTTACCAATGAAGGGGGTGGGCACAATCCTGTACCTACACAATTTTAGGATGCAATTGCAAACCAGAAGGGCTGAGGACTAGGAATCAGAGATCTGTGCTTGCAGATAACTTTTTGCAAGAAAAAATGAAGTTTGGTCATTACAAGTCAGCCAAATTAGGCCTGCCACTGAATGCCAATAGAAAGGTAAAAAGTCTACCATTCACCAAGAAAGGACGGGGAGAATATGCCATGTGAACTTAAGGATCCCTGCTCAGCTTAAATTCCACCTACAGCAAAGACAAACATGCATTACTAAAAGATACGATTCTTGTTCTCTCTTTTCAAAATAGCCTTTATCTCCCCTCCCTCAGCCTGAAGTAAAAAATGATAAAATCCAAACAGTTTAATCTGTAGTTTTTTAAATATGCAGGACTGGGAAAAAGCAGATACTTTGTTGCAAATTAACACAGATTCCTATGAACAGAAAATAGTTTTCTAGCTAAAACACAGCACTAAAATATTGTATCTTACTCCTTGTTCATGCCTATATCTCAGACTAAGAGGGGTATACTTGCAGCACCCACATCCCAAAGAACAAGATGGAAGCCAGATAAGTCTTGGAAGTCTTTGTTCTGTGATACAGTGCTCTGCAAATCATTGACAGACATAAAGACTTTTTATTTGGCACACCATGAGCGTGGTATGCATAACAATATTCCACATGTTTTAGATTTGAATGTATATACACAAAAAGAAGAGCAAGCTATAATGCAGGCTTTATAATGCTAAGCTTTTTAGGGTGCAATCCAATGCGCTCTGCACATAAGCTTCTGAACTCAGAGTGTAGCATTTATATAATGCCTGATGTGAGGTATTGCAGTAGTGATTTCTGCTACCTTGTATCATGAGAGGGGAGGGGGGCTGAGGCACTATTTGGGTACAGCCAAAGTTGTTGGCCCCAATTTCCTCCTCTCCCTTCCACTCAGCATGTTCCTTTTCCTCATCTGAAGCTGATTTTCAGTGTTGGAGAGGCAGTTGCCACAGTTCTTTCCATGATGGCTAGAGTTCCATATTTGCAAGTCAAATGGGGCTGGAGATGGGGTTTGCAGCCTTAAGTAAGTATTGCATAAGTTTACAGCCTTAAGGTATGTATTTAATACACAGGATAACTTCTTATTTTTGTAACTAAGGTGAAACACCAGAAATGATAGATGTTTGAAACAGATGCAAGCTTAATAAAGTGAAAACTGACTACAATCACCACATCCTACAGTTTTGAGTTTTCAAATCTGGAAACAAAAGTTAAGGTGACATTGTTGCATGTATCCTATGACATAACCTTACATAACCTCAGATGGCCTTCCTATCACACACACACTTAGCAGTTGTTTTCATGAGTAGCGGACACAATTCACCACAGGAAAAATTGAAAACCTTAATTACTGCTTGACTAAACCCATCTAATTTTTATAATTGCACAATAAATGAATTAATCAAGAATTATTTAATTCTTATTTTATACTCCTTTTCTAAAGTTCAGCACTTCTTGGGCAAATTCTCATCCTTGTTCCTTTTTGTTTACATAATCTACACATTAGAGCAGCTCACACTACATCACAAACACATTTTGTAAAGGCTCCAACTTATCAAAAAATAATAAGCACAACCAATATTTCATTAATGTTCAGGTTTGTCTGGAAGCAACCCCACCCCCACAAATAAGCAAGGAAAATTACATGGGTGAAAAGACAGTCTAAAGGACTCAGAGATGGACGGACACACTTGACGTTCCTTCTCATTCTCTTTAAAAGAAATGGGGTGGCCTGCATCAAACATTGTACTGACCGGTTGATGGTGCAGAGGATAGTAGAATAGGCACCAACAGAATAGTTTCAGCTTGTGGGTACCCCCTGTGAGTCTGATTTTCGTGAAGAACACTACTATCAATAGCCACTGGTCATGCTGATTCCATATTACCTCAAGTATATGCTTCTCTCAGTATCAGCTGCAGAGGAAGGAAAGCAGGAAGGTGCTACTATGCCCTTGTCCTCCTGGCATTCCTTTAGACATCTGGTCGGCTACCACAGGAAACAAAATACTGGATCACACAGGCCCTTGGGCTAACCTAGCAGAATTTTTCTTCCATGTTTATATTAAATAGGGTTGTGAGCTTCATAAACAAATTTAAAAGATGAAAATTGTACTTCTCACCCACTAAAAGTTAAGACTCATAACATTTAAACCAAACTTTCCCTAGTAGACAATGACTGAAAATACTAAAAACAGGAGAAATTCTAAAAACTCACAGAATAGTTTATTCTTCTCCAGCTGTACTCAGAAGTTATGATGGATTTTGGAGTTGGGAGGAGTGTCCTCTGCAACTTGTATTTAGAGTTCACAAACTTAGAAGCCATAAATAGTCTTGTATTCCAGTGACTATAGGAAACACAACTGTTGCTCACCCAACCAGTGCCCTTTCCAACAGTGTTGTAAAGATACTCCAGCTAGCTTCTTTTCAGCCATTCCTACATAATAAACAATGTTTATTACCATAGATATAAAGGTGCATGGAGCATGTTAGCATGGCTGGGGCAAAAAGCTGTTTGTTTTCACAGATGGCTTAATGGTATTTGTTAATACCATTTTTAACAAATGGTATTACCCTTTGCACCCAGTTTTGTTTCCCCATGGCTCATTTTAGACTAAGATCTTTAGGAGAAAGGACCTGCTATGTCATTTATGTAATTATATAAAGGTCCTATATACACTGATAAAATCAATAATAAAAATAAAATATAAAATCAATATTACCCAGATCTTTCTGAATAACCAAGAACTCAGATGTCTGAATTCAAGGACATAAAGCACTAAAGCTATTCCCCCATTATTTTCTGAAAATCCCTGACATGCCAGAAATTTGAATTGTAGCTACAGCTGTAACTGATGCCCAGAACAGGATAAAAGAGGACTGAGTAGGTGTAACAAAAATGAAAAACTAGAATGGAGAAAGCACTTGGTATCGTTTAACAATGTAACTGAAAATGCTACAATTAAACCTCAACAAATGTAAAGATTATAGAAGCCTCAAAACTTGCAAAAGCCTTCAATATATATATATAAGCCTTCAAAACTTACAAAAGTAATACAGCTTGCTTTGAGAACTATGTTACACTGGCACTTACTATGCAATCAGAAGCAAGATTAATTATTTGGACAAAAATTATTCCATGTTTGTGTGCTCATTATGCAGCACCTTGCACTCATATAGCATTAAGTATTAAAACTGTAATCAGATTTCAGTTACTTGACTCATTTGCTTGCAGGTCTGATCAGCTTTGGCAACATGCAATTCTATCCAAAACCCTTAGCCCTTTCAAATGGAATAAAATTTTGTCTGTTTTTATTTTTAAGGAAAAAATGTTTAAATTTGTGACTAACAGAAGTAGTCCTGAACAATGCATTTGATTTTGCATACAATGCCCCACATTTATCTGAGTAGTGTATGTGCTCCCTACTGGAAAAACTTTACTGCTAAGTGGTCTTAACTTTATTTTAGAGTTTCAGCCTGTTTACAGCAAAATACATTCTCACTGGACCATTACTGAATAGAGGAGCTCAAAATAATACAAAAGTTCCCTGTCCTGGCACTAGAACAAATCCTAAAGACATGATCCTAATCATGTTTACTCGTAACTTCCTAATACAGAACTTGAGTTTGTTTCAATATAGGTTTTTAAACATCCTCCCCAGATGACATAAATATTCCCTTTGCTAACAAACATATAACTTGTGCTATCAGTTCTTTGTCGAGCAACATTAAAAGCTCACATATACATAGAGATCAAGGCTAACTTTTCTCACAGAGGAACAAGTCCAAGCAAAACAAGCAGGTGATGTCAATGCAGTGGGGGGAAAAGAGCTGTGTATGGTGTTATTGGCAAGCATGTACAGGAAGACATATTGTGACCATAATGTGAGGAGAATTCCGCCTAAGAAAATCAATATTAAGAAGAGCAATTCAAAAGATCCCAACAGAATACCAAAGACTTCAAGGAACATTTGAACCCGTGAAGTTTAAAATCCAGAACAAAACATCTCAGGGGCCTCGTGGTAAGAAGGAAATCCACTTGAGCCCTCCCCACAAAGCAAAGGAGCTGAGGGAAACAATGAAGACATACCCGACATTCACTCCAACCCCGTCGCAGCCCCAGCCACTTTGTCTGCCAGGCCTTGAGGCCACGATGGGGTTCTTCTGGGCTGAACGCTCAGCCAGCCTCAACTCAAAAACAAAACGCTAATGGCGTGAACTCGACGTGAGGGGAGTCCCATCGATAAGGAGAAGTCCCATATAGAGAGGAAGGCAGGAGGAGACAGAATCTCAGATAACCAAAGCAGCGTCGGGGAAGACCCTCGCCAGGGTTGATGTTTGCTGATTTGTTTATGGGGAGGAGGGGGAGAGGGAGAAGGGAGCGCTGGGATCCAAGGAACATGAACGGGGGTTGAGGCAGGAGGTCGGGGGTGAGGGGGAGACACGGGCGCCATGATTCGCCATCGCCTCAGCACGTTACCTGCAGGCGACCTGCTTAGTCCAACAGCCGCTGCTCCCCCCTCCGGCTCCAGCCGGCGGCGGTGGCTGGGGCTCGGCTGTGGGGAGGCTGGAGGCCGTGGTGGTGATGGTGGCGGCGGAGGCGTCAGAGCTGGAAAGGCTGCAAGCCGTGACAGCCGCTGTGGCTGTGACTCCCGCTGTTCCGCCGCCGCCGCCGCCACCGGGGGCCACCGCAGCCTCCGCCATTACTGTTTACCCCACACAGCGATGGCCCCGCCGGAACTTCCGGGAGAGCATCCTTCCGGGACAAGGAGGCGGGACAGAAGGAGAGGGGCGGGATGAGGGAGAGAGTGGGTGGGGCTTATTCCCCTCCCTCGCCTTACGGAGGAAGGGCAAAACGAGCCGACAAGGAGAAAGGGAAATCCTCGAGGAAGGAATGAGCGTTGTGATTGGTGCAGCGTTCCATAAGCCGCGGCCATTGGTGGAGATCGGGAGAGGGGGCGGAGGGAGTGAGGAAGGCAAATGTTTGTCCAGCTGGAGGGGGCGGGGTTTATTAGCCTCTCTGTTGGCATGGTTAAGGGGAGTTTTCTTGGTTTTTATGGTAAAGCTTTGCGGTTCCCTTTGATTCCTTACGGAAAGGAAGAGTTTCGTCCCACTGGGCACAAACAGTGCAGACCTTGCACATGCAAATTTACATGTGCTCTAAAGTCTTCAAAGGACATTTTCAGCCAAAGACATCTCCTCCCCCGCTCCATTTGTTAAAATGGATATATGGAGAGGGGGCAGGAGGGCACGGAATTTCGGAAGAACATTTGAGACAGAAAGATTCTGGGAAGTTGGCAGCGGGAGGTGAAATATATAGGGACAAAGCCAAATATTCGAGGGGGATCACATGTGATACAGATTTTCAGGACTTCGTACCCGCATTTCAGCAAGTGCTCATGGACAGGTTGGTGGGGCAGAGGGTCTCCCAGAAATCAGGGGCTGCAGGCCTACAGGATTGCCTTGTGGCAGTGTTGTGGGTTCCTGTGTTTATTGCGCTGTATGCTTTGTTGATTGGAATCCATCAAGTGTGTGAAGTGCTATTCTCATTTGGCATTATATTGACATGCATCCTGCCTCTTCCATGCTCTTTCTCTCTCACACACACACACATACACACATACACACACACTTACAAAAAGTGAAATAAATATGACTTGAAATCAATGGGCAAGAGGGACAGCCCCCCCCCACACACACACAAATATATACCGAATGGTATTTCTTGCATGTCTTACTTTCTCGCCAATATTTCATGTACTGAATTTCTTCCATGATCACTCAAGCGCATTGTCCAGGGAGGAAAATGCAACTGTACCTTTATTATACCTTGAAATACAAAATATGTTGAGATTAGAGATCAGTGCTCCCGTATCAGTGGTAAAATGTATTGCCCCCTCACTCCCAAGCTGTACAACTAAGAGAAGTATAGAAATGCAAGAGTACAAGTGGACCCTTGCAAATATTAGGAGATTTGAGTTTTTGTGTATATAATATTTTGTCTGTGCCCATTTTCCCTATGCGCACACTTCATTCTCACAACAATTAATTCATCTATGCACAAGGCAGGTTCACACATAATAAGCCACGATGGAAACCTACGTGGCATGGTTCATCATTATGTGTGAACTCAGCAAGAGTGGTGAAGCATCATGAGGATGGTCTCTATGGAGCCATGAAGAGAAACAACAGTATAGTTTCTGTGCTTCACTCTGTCTTGTTTGTGGGTCTGAACCCAGTTTTCATGTTTTAATGTGGCTTCCATGTTCCTGCCACAGAGTTTCATAGAACAGGAGCTGTGGCTGCAGCAGACACGCCAGCCTGCATCCAATAAGTTCAATAAAAATCCACATGAAAACCTACTCAACTTAAAATAATGGGCAAATAAAAAGGCTTTAGCCTGGCACCAAAAGGAATAAAGTGTCAGCACCAGGCAGACTTCTCTGGGGAGTGCATTCCATAGCCAGGGTGCCACCACTGAGAAGGCCCTTCTCTGGGTAGCCACCCCCCCTAATCTCCTTCAAGGAAGGCTCCTGAAGAAGGACCTCCATCCCAGGCCTTAAGAGGCGAGAAGGCTCGTGGTTTGTTAACTGCTGTTTTCAATAACAACCCACTACAAGTGTGGGTTATTGTGTTGTCTGGACCCAGTTATAGTCAAATAGCTAATCAATACTCTGGGAATATCTATTGTCTTTGAGTGATGTGCATGCAGCAGTCTATTTTTAATGTCTGAAGAGGTAGAATGTGTGCATACATTGCAAAATAGCTCAGTGGATGACGAGGGTTCCACTCATTTCAATCAACCAAAGCCAGAGCTCAGCATCTCGTAACTATGGAGGTTTCAAAGAGCATAGCCTGCATTAACCTCAGCACATAGTTAAATTATGGAACTCACAGGGCCTTAGTGGGCCACCAAGGTGAGTGGCTTTAAAAAAGAATTAGACCAACTGAAGGCGAATCAGGTTGTCAGTGGTCACTCATTTGGATACATACACACAGGAGGTATGTATGGCCATTGCTGGAGAACATGAACAGGAAAGTGCTGGTGTGCCCATATCCTACTTGTGGGTTTCACGTGGGCAGATGCTTGGCCATTGTTTGAATAGAATACTGAAGAAGGTCAACCTTTGGTCTGATCTAGCATGGCTTTCCATAGGTTCTTTTTCTGGGCAGTTCCTTTGCCAGGTTGAGCTGATGTTGGATCAGCAAAGCCACAATCGTTCTGGAGCACAGCATATTTGTGCCTTCATTCAATACTGCAATAATTGATCTTAAGTAAATGATTATCAAAAATTTATTTGATTTCTCTAAAGAAAAAAAAAACCCCAGAGATATCGGATGCTAAAAATGGAAAGGCACCAGTGAAGGAAGTAACTCGGTGATTGAGAAACAAAGAAGCCAATAACCAAGCCATGAAGCCTGTCTGAAGGAATGTGGAGGGGAGAAAAAGATAATTGACTTGAAAGAAAGAGTGCTGCTTCCTATCTCATCCTCCCAGTAGTTTTATGAGATAGGAGATCATACAGCAAGGTGAATAATAACTCACACACCCTGAATAGACAATGGGCTGATTATAATGCTCATGTGACATATGTAGATGTATGTAATGGGAGGAGATGGAAGATATGTAGTAGGCGGACGGAAAGATAGTATCTTACCCAATGAGGGAAAAGGGGAGGATTTGGCGGATGGATTGAGGAGCAAAAGGAGCTGCTTTGTGTGTTTGTACTTTGGAGAGATTCTGATAGAGCAGGCTCTCCCCATGAATTGCAATAAATTATGGAAACGCCTTGCTCTGTTGCTAATCTTGGTTATTTAACTTGAGAAGAAGTATTTTTGCAGCTTTTTCCGTAACAGCCAGAAAGCCAAAGAAACCACAGATTTCTCCTCAAATTTAACATAACCAAGTTCCACTTTCCCCAAGGCAAAAAAACGGTTCCAGAATGCCAGCTGCTTTATTCTGTTAATGATAAATAGACTAACTCAACACGAAGGCCGCAGCTGGAATGCAGGACAGCTGGAGCCAAGATCATTCCGTTGCAATTCTCACCCAGCCTGCCTTTCGCTCCTGCTAGCCATGTAAAATGTTCAGCCAGCGTGTGGCCAAAAAGAAACGCACACAGAGGTAAGGAACTTGCCTTATTGCCACCTTCTTCTGTCCTGAAAGGCTAATTCTACTGACATGCTAGATAGCTGAGTCTGGTGAGAAGCCATCAAAATCAATTGTAGCATGGAGCAGAACTTTCTTCTTAAGGTCAGAGGGTTTGCTGTGGTGGGAGGCCTGGCTGAAAAGAAGAAAAGCATGGGTGCATCTTGTGTAACTTGTAAACAAAGCATAGGTGCAGCAGGAAGGGGGTCTCAAATTCCTTTTCTTGAGTGAATTTCTAACATGCTGTTGGTAAGTAATCTTTTCCACATCTTGGCATACTGTCTTCTTTTGGGAATAGGACATGCTTCTGTGATACTCTCAACACTCCACTTAAAATTAGTTCCTCTGTCACAACTTCTGTGGCACTTAATTTGGCTTCTATATAATATCCACTGCTTGTCACAATAGAAATGAAGTTAATAAAAACTGGATTAAGCTCCTTCACTGCTGCTGTTGCTGTTCTGGTCAGCTTTGGCTAGACTCTGATTTTTGTTTTGGCTTGTGTCAGTTGTTTCTAACGCTACTTGTTATGGCAGGATGAGGGATTTCTCCAAATTCAGAGGCTTAAACTGCTGTACACACTGCATTTCAGAGAAAACAAATTCTTCCCCAGCTCTGCTGGTATATATTATTTTACAATCCACAACACGATTCGCAGTCGCATTATTAAGACAACATGATGAAGCAAGAAGTCCTCAATGCGCCCCTCCCTCAGTGGGTTAACCTCCCAGCCACTCTCACCAGCCATCCTGCTCTTTCTCCCTTTTCCCTTCCTTGCTGCCTTTTGCTTGTTTGACAGGTGCAGGCACCCCAGGTACAGTTCTCACAGTACCCAAACTGGTATTAGATTCCACCACCTAGAGTACAACAACCCTGGTCTCCCCAATTCCCAAGTGCTCTTGGTCCCTTGGAAATCAATGGTCAAGGTTCTCACTGGGGTCTGCTGTGTTGGATTTCTCTGCAGCTTCTCAGGGGAGCACATTGCATACAACCTGGGTAGGATGGATTCCATGTGGTCTGGCTGAATGGGCCATTCCAGGCAGGGAGACAGTGCACAGGTAGATCGTGGCATCTGCCATTCGGTCTTTTCTCTGCCACTGTGGTCCGGCCACAGCTGGAGGCATCTGAACAAGCAGGTTGCAATGGTGAAGATGAGGTGCAACTCCAGGAAGATGCTCTTAGTGGGCCCTGCTGAGTTTGGGCCCTTGGCAGGTGCCCAGCCATGCCTAACTTTGATGCCAGTCCCAAATATGTAGTTAGGCAGTACTGAACCTCTGTACCATGTGGGAATGCTAAATTGCACATGGAGTGTATTTACTGCTACTGAACTAGGTTATTCAATAATTGGGTGGTTCTAGGGTGGCCAGATGTCAAAGAGACCAGGGCCTCTGCCTGTATGTCCTCTTGGCCACACTTTTCCAATTCTGTTAGAATTTGGTTGAAGATATTAGTATCTGCATGATGATTAATGATTCCCTGGCATAGTTGCAGTTTTTGGTAAAACTTTATCAGCATTATAACCTTTTTATCAGCATCATAACATTTTATTAGTTTTGTGTCATTGTTTTTCTATTTCAATGGTTATTGATTGCAAACCACTTTGAGGGGAACCGAGCAAGGGAGATGACTTGTAAATGCCCGTGATGATGATACTGATGCAATAATGGGTCAGCCCATCGTCTGGAGTCAACAAGCAAATTTGGGAAAGGGTGAAAAACTTGCTGCTTCCTGAGCTTCCTCTTCCCTTTTTGCACAGCTTGGCTTTTCATTAGATGGTCATCTGTGTGCTCCAAGAATGATTGGGAAGGCTGCCTTTACCTTGGGAGGCTGCACTGTCGGTGGAGCACGTCGCATTATCCACACAAGATCTTTGCACAGTGAGTATTTCCTGGTAGAATCACTCCCTTTTGCGTATGCCCAGGACAGGAGATGCTGCGTGTTTCCAGGTTTTGAGGGGTTCCTTGTGCACCTTTCCTTTGGTGAGCCAAAGTTCTCACTACTGATGCCAGCAACTGCTCTCATTCCTTATTGGTTTTCTCACGGCTTGGCAGGGAGGGAGCCAGTGAGCAAATAGGTGGTGGCATCTGATAATGCTCCCTCTCTGGGCAAGAGAGCAAGCAAGAAGTCAGGTGAACAGGTAGTTTGCAACGTTGAGGAGGAGGAAAGGAACTCCAAAAATGCATGGGGGAAACAAGACCAATTTAAATGCATTTCTTCGTGCATGTTTTCAAAAAATGCAGAAAACATGGCAGAATGATCTTATGATTGGACACATGGAGCTGTTATGACTGTAAATAGACTGAGCTTCCTCTAATCTAGCAGTTCTTCCTACTCCTCACCTGCCTACAGTATTAGGCCTAGCTAATATATCCTTGTATATTAGCCTTCCAAAATTTGGTACCTTGCAGAAGTGTTGAGCTACAGCTGGTAGCCTTCTCTAGCCAGTGGCGCTTGGAGTTTTAGTCCAATACATTGGGAAGGCGTCAGTTTCTTCTATGCTGTTTTATATAATTTGATATGTCATCACTCAGCTTATATTTATTTTCTTGATTTTGACCTGAAGTTAGCACACACTTTTTTCAGTAGGCAAAAGGAAGCTTTGGAACTCCTCTGTGGGGAGAGAAGTTTAGAAGTCTTTTTGATCCTGCCAGGCAGACCTTCACTAGTGCCAACGCCCACTGGGAGCTTCCACTGAACTGTAGATAGTGCTTTAGAAGGGGCACTTCTGTAAGGACCCTGGCAGGGGTCAAAAGCATTGCCCTTGCCTTCCCCGCCACCCATGATCCTGCTTCTCATAACTGCTCTGTATCGAATAAAAAACAAGCGCATTATTTTCATTCATGCAAAGCTCAGTGGGAAGAGAGGTGAGCAAGTAGTTTGCAATGGTGAGAAGCAGGAGAGGAACTCAGTAAACTTATTTAGCTCAGGAAACATATTTAGGATTGCCGTGCTGAGGTGCAGTCCTGAAGTGAGTCAACCCCATTGGGTACAGTGAGACTTACTTTGGAGCAAACCTGCAAAGGTTCACATGGCACAATGGCTATATTATTGGCACTAAATCAGCCTTCCCCTACTATGGACTACAGGGCTGTGCTGACTGGGAGTGATGGGTATTGTAGTCCAACATTATGTTGTACTAAAGAAATGTTAAGTCTTGTACCAGCAGTAATAATCTTTCAGAATTTTTTGTGGAACAAGTATGGCTTTGACCTTTCAAAATAATACAATAATGTGCAATGTCGAAGGCTGCAAAACCTCACCCCAAAAGCTGGGTGTTCTCCATGCAACTTGGGAAACCCAGTGGTCTCAATAAGAGCCTTTTATAGTTTGGAACACTCATCATGGGCACAAGACATTCGTAGCTTCTCTTCAGTGTACATAATATATTTCCTTCTAGGTGGTGATCTCAAGATTCATCCATGTGTAAAGGAGGCCATGGACAGTGGGAGGCCTGTTGTTGCCTTGGAGAGTGCGATCATCACACACGGCATGCCATATCCCCAAAATCTGAGGTTGGGTGTTTTCTGGAACTAAAGACATTCCAAGTGAGGCTGGACTGGGGAATGATTCACACATGCATCACGTCACATCTTGTTGCTGCATATATTGCTGAACTAAACCGAAAAGGGCTCTTTCTGAGGTCATTGGGTAAAATCTCAGGTCGGTTTGGTGGCAATTGATCTATGGTGGCAACTTCAAAAGTTCAAGCAGTTGCTGCCTCTGCAATCACAAAAGGATGGACGTGCATTTAGGAAAGCTGTAAATGCTCCCCTGTGTCAAAACATGCCACGCAGTTAGAAAGCTAGTGAGTCAGGGAAAGTATCTTTGTTGCAAGGATTTTCCAAATGGGGACAGCTCAAAACATACAATTCCTTCACCTGCAGTCTTCAGGAGTATAATCTCAGGAAGGCTGCACTGAAGGAAGTCTCTATGAAAATTGCCAAAATACCTAAAAATTGTGTTTGTTGTAACAGAAAATATTTGAGATCTAGAAGTAGGGCTACATTAAGCCTGCGTAGATTAGTTCTCTCTCTGCAGCACCATGCTCCATAGGTCAGTCTCAAAACCTTGCTTATTAAAAAAACAAACCAAAAACAACCCTAGTAGGAACAGTAGCAAAATGTTGCAGCATGGAACACACCCTGTTCAGGATTCCAGCCACCTGATACCATCCTTCCCTTTATGCTGAACCAGTCAGTGTTTATTTTGTGGTTGCTCCACATGCACAATCTCCATTGGACTGTTTTGGAAGGTCCCTTCCATCTCCCCCCCCCCACCTCCCCCCCACCACCCACATTTTAAGATTACTTGGGCAAATTCTAGTGTTTCTACAAACTTGCTGGTAACTCCTTTGCGTCTGTCTATATGGCTTATTTGTCTGTTTAATTGCCAGTGCTGAACCGACTAGGTTGAAACTTTGACTGAAATTTAACAGGTCACTTCCCATATTTTTGGCTGCAGCGTGGCCAGAGAAGTAGAAGAAGTTGTAAGGACCAACGGGTCAGTTCCAGCAACAATTGGCATTTTAAATGGCTCCATCCATGTGGGTCTCCAGGACAAAGAACTGGAATTTCTGGCAAGGTGCAAAAATGTCGTGAAGGTTTCTCGGAGGGACCTTCCTTATGTTCTCAGCAAGGTACTGGACAGAATTTCTGTCGCTTTTGTTTGCTCAGGTCTAATCTGTATGAGGTACAACCAGTGCTGTTTACACTGATCCAAGGCTTGCAGGATTAAAGCACCGGGGATTTTGAATTAGCACTGGTGATGACATCATCTGCCATCCGTCAGACTTGCATGCTCTCTCCCACCTTAGCTGCAATCTGCTTCATAGATAGGGAAGAAACAGATTTTCACAGCAACAGTCTATTGTTGTGAGCTGGTCCTGGCCTAAAGAAGTATTTTGAGGTGACTTAGTCTTCAGTGAATGAAGACCTGTTTCATTTACACACACACACACACACACCCCAAGCTGCTTGTGGGGAAGATGATGAAAACTGCTAGAGCAGGTTTGTTGATTTTGAGAGAAAATGTTCCACATGTTTGCTGGCAAAGGAAACCACTGGAAAATCTCGAGTTGCTGGTCTTTGGGTGCTTGGGCACATGCTCTGTCCTTCTGCTCCACCTTCTCATGCAATCAACAAACTTCTCCAGCAGAGGTCCTACATTACACCACTACACCACCCCCTGCTGACTTACTATTTTTTACTATTAGGTGACCCTAAAAAAACTGAGCATGGCTGCTCACCTTTGCAGTAGGACTGTGGAGATCATCATGATGAGCAGCTGCACTTTAAACATTATTATTATTTCTATACTGCCCATAGCGGAGCACAATATTAAGTCACCCATCCAGATTTCGACCAGGCTCAACCCTGCTTAGCTTCCAAGATCAGGCACATCAGGCTATATGGAAGTTCTCCATCGCTAGGTGAGCCTCTACTCTGCAGAGGAAGATCAGAATTCTGAATGCCCCTAAGCGTCCTTTTTGAAGGCTTTATTTGCCCTAGTCAGAGAATCACTCTGGGAGGGTGTTGTAAAATGAATGAGTGGTTCCTTTACAAAGCTTGACTGAGAATGAAGTGGTGCTAACAAAGCAGCATAATTTGTTCACTAGTTTACTGCATTACTAGTTTCAGTGGAGAGACATTGATCATAATAAAATGCAATTAAACCATTGCAAACATAATAATGCAATGAAAAGAGGCAAATAAAATCAGAATGGGTGCTTCCTGACCAGGTCTTGCAATTGCTCTGCTTCATTCATACAATTTTACAGGGAATCCAAATGATGTTGTCATCCATTTGTAATCTTCCCACCTTTTCCTACAACTCCTTCAGTCTTCCTTTAACTATTAAAAAATAATTAAGGAGGGAAAGAATAGCTGCACAGTGTCTTTTGATAAATGGCATCAGAAGCCCTCCACCTTGAATCATTTTGCAAGGGCACATGAAAACATATTAATAAGCACTGTGAATTTAAAAACCCATAAGTAAAAACATATTTGCCCGTTGGTGAAAAGAGGACACTAATCATTGGTGGATTCCCTGAAAAAAAGCCAGTCTGGATTGTGACTGCTTGAACCCTGACAGGGCTTGACTGGTGGTACAACTGTGGCAGGAACCATGATTGTGGCACACAGAGCAAGGATCCCAGTGTTTGTGACAGGCGGAATTGGAGGAGTCCATCGCGGGGGAGAGAAAAGTAAGAGGAACATCATATACATTCTTAATCAAAGACCGTATTCCCAAGTGCACCTGCATCCACTCAGTTCTTTTTTCTCATGCCCATAACCATTTTGTGGATAACGTTACATGGAAGGGCACGAGGGGTGTGGCACGCTCATTTGTTGTCTGTCTCGTTCAATATTCTCCGTGTCTGGCGAGATGACTTGAAGCGAGTGAACGCACGCACGCCAGTGTCCTCAGTGCATGCAGGAGGCATAACATGTTTTTTCTTCATTCGCCACTGGGGAGGGTTGCTCAGTCACTAATGAAAGAGATGCTTCGCATGCATGCAAACTCCCTGGAATGTCATATCTCTGAAGATGCGCAGGTGCACATTTTCTCGGAAAATTCCTGTTCTTCTCCCTTCATCCCCGTACATGCTGCTTTGAAAGTAAAACCAATGCCCATGAAATGTATTCACCTCTTTACAACTGAATGTGGTCCTTGGACCCTGGAAAGCTGCTGTCCATTAACATGGAACATGCGGGATGAGATGAACCCTTGGTCTAGCTCAGAATAAAGCTGCCTCCTCTGTTACTGCAGTATAGAAATTTGATTTCTTTCTCCCAGTTTCACCTTTCCCTCAGTTGCCGGATTTGGAGGCACTGAAATTTGGGTTGAATGATCTCCTATCTGTCCTTTTCAGCTCTGGACGTGAGTGCAGACTTGACAGAGTTGGGCCGTACTCCAGTTGCAGTGGTTTCTGCAGGTGTCAAGTCCATTCTCGATATGGGCAGGACACTGGAATATCTGGTAAGAAGCTGCAGCTGTGGAAGACTTCCAGCTGATCATTAGCTGCCGTGTAATATGTAGTGTAGCCACTTATATTATTCACAAAGTCATGCCTGACCCATTGTGACCCCATGGACAACATTCCTCCAGGCTGTCCTGTCCTCCACCCCACCCCCCTGGAGTCCACCTAAGCTCACGCTGACTGCTCCAGTGACTCCATCTAGCCACCTCATCCTCTGCCATCCCCTTCTCCTTTTGCCATCAATCATTCCTAGCATTAGGTTCTTCTCCAGTGAGTCCTTCCTTCTCATTAGGTGGCCAAAGTATTTGAGTTTCGTTTTTAGTATCTGGCCTTCTGAATTGCCAAAAAAGAGAAAATACTTCACCCAAAAGGAGGACAAAAGAGGATGGCAAATTGCATAGAATTTGCCTGTGCTAATTTGTATGCATAAATGCAAGCTTGGAAATAATATTAGTAATAATATATTATTCATTTATCTATTTAAAGTTTGTATGTGCCATCCAATACTAGAAGTCTCTGGACGGTTTACAAAAAACAAAAGACCAAAAAACAAAGCAACCATATACAACAACAACACACTACACACTGCATCTGATAAATGTTGATAAAATCAAGGATAAAATCAATTAACTGTTAAAATATTGGAGAAATAAAAAGGTATATAGTAATTATAACAATCTATTCTATAATACAAATATTACTACTGCATTGCATTTATATCCTGCCATTTTTCCTCTTGTGAGGAATCCACATTGACTTGGCTTCATTTTATCCTCACAACAGCAATCCTGTATGGTAGTTCGGCTGAGAGCGAGTGGCTGGCCCAAAGTCCCCCAGCAAGCTTCATGGCTGAGTGGGGACTAGAACCCAGGTCTTCCCCAGGCCCAGTCTAACACTCTAAGCATGTAACCATAACCCTTGCGTCTTTCCATCTTGCCTTTCCTGTTGACCTTGGCAGGAAACTCATGGTGTTTGTGTGGCTGCCTTTGGAGAATCAGGAGAGTTCCCAGCCTTCTTCTCACACCGCAGCGGCTTCCAGGCACCATATCGGGTGCAGAATGAGAAACACGCTGCTCAGCTGATTGGTGAGCCATGTGCACACATGCTGCTTGAGCACATGCGGGCTGGAGGGTTCCCTAAAAATTGCGCTGTGGCAGCACAATTGGGCAGCATGCAAATGTTTTAAATAAATAAAAAAGCAAAGATTGCCTCCCACACACAAAACATTAACAACCCCCCAATTCATTAAGATATGGTGCAGGAGGTAATTAGAATCATGTTGTGCTAGGTGGAAATGGGTTGACGGTGGCTACTTTAGCCTTAATACTTGTGGAGGGTTGGGCTGCTGATAAAGAAGCCACACTGGCTGCCCTCTTCTTCCCCCTTCCCGTTAGTCTTTTAAAATGCAAACACAGGGAAAGCTAGCAGATCTAACTGCCAGCACCTTTTCATTTTTTCCCCATGAATTTGAATGGCTCAGCCACAAACAAGTGTGACTTTTCTTTCTCAGTCAAGGCTTTGGCGTTGCAGTTGGGCAGCGGAGTGCTGATTGCGGTGCCTAGTCCTCAGGATCAAGCTGCTTCGGGACAGCTCATTGAAGAAGCGATTCTGCAGGCATTGCAGGAGGCTCAGTAAGGATCACTCCAGTCTGTTCCAAAGATGTATTTCCACCCACTCATAGTGGAATGTTTGTCCATACCCATCAAGATAATTTTATTTTGAGGTCTAACTAGATTTGTAATATCTAGAAGCTCATTGCCACAAGATGGGAAAATTACCTGACGTGACTTGTGGTTTTGATTTTGCAATGGATAGCAAGGTTGATTAATTTCTGTTGCTGAAGGGCATTTACTTTTGCAATGATATGCTCTATTCTCATCCAGCATTTTTCCTGTTGTTACATTTGCAGGGCAAAGGGGATCACGGGAAAGGCTCTTACACCCTTCTTGCTGCAGCGGGTAAATGAACTATCCAGTGGAGAGTCCCTGAAATCCAGTATCCTTTCCTCCTGTCTCAGCTCTCCCTCCATTGCAAAAGCCAATTGCTAAGTGTTCTCCCCAAGTCTTTCTACTGCCTGGGAATCTGAAAAGAATTCAATCCTGAGCTCCTTCCTAACATGCTTAAAACATGAACTGAAGAGATCTGAACCCATCTTTTTCTAAGAGAGGAAATAAACATGCCACATGGTGTAAGCCAGTTACTTCTTGGTTGACACCCAAAGTCTCATTCTTTATTTTGGCCTTGGCAGTATCCTCTTGTCCCTGTGAGCTTGCAGGATCTACCATGGAGCTTTGGAACATCTAAAAGTAACCTCAACAGAGCAAAAACACGTGTTTCCAAAATGGTGGACCTTGCAGAGTAACTCTCTATTTATCCTTCCTAATCCAGATGAAGCATTTCCACTCATTTCTGGGGACACCAAAGCAGAAACTTGGGTCTCACGGGGGAGTGTTTCCTGGTGGACTGCACTTGGATTAGGTCACTTGGAAGCAGAGGTGTCCAGAGGTGCTTCTGGCAACACCAGGCAGTTGAGTTCTTCTACCAATTCTAATGCCCCACAATGCCCCCAGTGATTTTGACTGGGGTTTTAGTATATCAATTGTCAGATGCTGTGGTGTTTGTTTTATTCTACTCGTCTTTGTCAGCCATCCCAAGATGCTTGTAGTGGATGGGTTAGAAAACCTTTTAATAATAAACAAATAAATTGAACGGCACTGGGCCTGGCTTCTAGACACAGGATGTGGCAGTAAATCCATGCATTTTGCCAGTATGGTCAAATGGTGCCAGCTATGCTTGGGTGACATAGCTCACAGCATCTTAAACATTGTCCTGAACTCCATGGAGGAAGGGAAAAAAATCAATCTGAAGAAATAAATAGATTGTTTCTGTGGCCAAATTGTCTCCTGTAGCAGTGTGAGATCTTGTCTACCAATCACATTTGTCTCTCATGCTTTTAGGATTTACCGAAGGAAGTCAGATAGGTTGAGACAAGAAAAGACCTTCTAATGCTATGCAAAGCTAATGTATAGAATTGCTGTGCTGATGGTTTTCAACGGGAGGTGGCACAGATCCATGGCATCTCAAGGGCTGTTAGCCATGGTAGTCAAGTGGAACCTCCTGGCTCAGAAATGCATGCCACTGAATACCGGTTGCACATGGGAGGTGGAAAACTTCAGGCTCTGGCTTCTGGAAGGCAGCTACTTGGTGCAACATGGCTTTTCATAGTCTTCTACCCTTGTGGGGGCCTACCCAATGCTTGGATGGAAATCTTTCCTGTTGCACAGGGACAGTGGTTGAGCAAGGCAATCTTGGGTGGCCATGTGACCTGCTTTTCAGTGAATAATTCTGCATTTGAAGAGCCATCCCTCTGAAGTTCAGGTTAAAAATAAATTGCCCTGAGGAGGAAACTGAGTGACATCTTGAAGCTGCCCATCCCCGTATAACAGTCCGTGGAGAGCAGACAAGCACAGATCACCTGCTCTGTCATTTGCACTGTGGTGGTGAGGTGTATTGCATGTTTCCACACATTCCATTCAATTAGCACCTCTTTCTTGGACCCCTTGGAAGGCAGAGCTGCAGCAATAGAAAAAAAGGTGTTTTTGTATCAGTTTCTTACATGCTTTTTCTTTTGCTTCTGGGTTGCTGTATTTTTCTTTTCCTTCACCAGCACTTCCCTGCCACCCATCAGATATTGCTCTGATCAAGAACAATGCCAAAGTGGGCAGCCGCATCGCTGTGGCTCTGAACAGAATCCAAAGAGGCCGGGGTGGAGGCGGCAGAGGCGACTTGCCTCTTGAAAATGATGATGCCTCTGCTGCACGGAGACCGGTAGGTGCTCAGGCCTGTGAGGGACGCCACCTTTCCTGAGCTTCCAGAGAGGATGCTCAGCTCTCACTCATTCACAGAGCCACCTCTTCTTTATTGGTTTACTATATTTACTTCCCGCATTGTTTCCTGTAAGGGACACAGGATGGCTTACATCGTCTTCCTCCCCCAGTTTCTCCGTACAAGAACCCTGAGAGATAGATTAGGCTGAGAGTCAGTGACTGGCCCAAAATCATCGGACCATTGTGCTCGCTCGCTCTCGCTCCCGCTCTCTCAATCTCTCTCTCTTGGGAGGAGAAGCAGGTAGGCAATCCTTGCCTCCATGTACCTCTCAGTCTCTACTGGATGCTGGTAGTGCCGCATGCTGTAAAGGCTACAGAAAACCACACTGGGTGGCACCTAACACAGCTTCTTGTTCAGATGCTGCACGTGGCCTCTTTTTGGCGCTTCAGTCCTGTGGTACGGTGAAGCAGAAGCAGGTAGCCTTCGCTGTGCCTCTGTAAGCCTGTACTTTGGGGCACGTTCAGATCATACCTGTCAGTGGAAGAGTTTTTGGCATCAGGGAGAGCCCTGCATGAGGAAATGGTCATATTTTTCCATGCCTGTGTTCTTTTTCCCCACATGCAGGTGGTCATTGGAGGCATCAATGTTGACATCGTAGCCAAGGCAAAAGTCTCAACAATGCTGGTAATTGAATTGATGATGATGATGATCTGCCTTTTTGCCTCCTGCAAGCAAGCAAGGGTGGCTTAAATGGTCCTCACCTCTCCATTTACCCTCACTGTTAAGTAGGTCAGGCTGAGAGGCAACGATTTCCTCAAAGCCAGCTGGTGGGCTCCATGGCCACATGGGACTAAGACCCAGATCTCCTGGATCTCAGCCCACCACTCTTAACTGCTACACCACACTGGGTGTGTTCTCTTTACCCTGGTTCAGTCTATTACATCAAAGCTTGCTGGATACAAGTAAATTCACCTGTCAACTTTCCAGAGCATTAGGAAAGATGAAACTGAGCAACCTGGAACCACCAGGTAGTGACCAGGCAGGTAATAAAGCCAGGAAGCTAGCAGGTGATCAGCAGCTTTATGGCTAGGTAGTCTGGGGTTACATGCATACATGCAGAATCTGAGCAGAAGGTAGAAGCACACTTGTCCCACTTGGTGCTCAGCTGCCGTCTTGTCCAAGTTTTCATTGGAAGCTGGATTTGGACAGGACTGATTGGTTGTCCCTTATGTCAAAGACAAATATTTTCCCTCAGAGTAGGCTGCTGATTGGTTGGCTCTTGTGCCCAGAAAGAAGCCGCCTCCTTGTCCTTCTTGAAACAGTTTTTTAAAAAGCCACGGAACAAACCGCTGAGCAGATAACCGTGCTCTGAGCTTCAAAAGGCTTTGGGTGCTGGTGCTGGTGCAGCAAACAGAGCCGACTAGTCATCCCCTCTTCTGGCAACCTACAGTGGTGCAGCGGGTAGCAAACACGATTCCTACTGCCAAAGAAGCTGGTTTGAGGTTCCCTGCTCCACAGCGCCTTGTGGCAGCAGTGCTGGTCTTTTTTTCAGCCAGAGAGTTGAATTCCATTTCAGAGGAGCCTTTGGGAGCTACACTCTAGGGGTGGGCAGCCTGAAGGCAAAATGGGAGGACTAAAAATACCCAGCATATTCTAGCTTCAAGCTCTTACTGCCAGGAACAAAACCTCTGTAAAGGCATCTCAGTCCCTGAGATTTGCAGGATGAGGGAGGCAAGACAGGAATTTGCACAAGACCCAGGAAAGTACCAGGATTGGTAGTTTTATTTATGTATTTATTAAAAGCTTTTATAGGCCATTCACTACAAGTGTCTTGGGATGGCTTACAAGAAGGAGGGGGGAAAATGAAAATATAAAACAAAACAAGGCACTTCATCCAACCTCAATAATAAAACCCAGAATAAAACTAATTAAACATTAAAATGATGGGAAAATAAAAAGGGTTTTGTCTGACACTGAAAAGAATAAAGCGATGGCACCAGACAAACCTCCCTGGGAAGCTGACTCCAGAGTTGGGGTGCCACTGCTGAAAAGGCCTTTCTCCGGGTAACTACCCTCCCAGTTGCAGGACACTGAGTGGGGATCAGGAGCATGGCCAACTGAAGAAACCCAGAGGTGGCAACATTAAACTGTGGATGCTTTGAGGTGCAAACCTGTGCTCCAACTTGCTTTTCAACCCCCTACGATGGGTTGCAGATATTGCTATGGCACAGATGATGAAACTGCATTCTAAGGGAAGTATGGCTTCGCCACTTCCAGATTCTTACACATGCTTTTCTTCTGGATTGTTCCACCCTATCCTCTGTCTTTCCATCTGTTGCATTATGCAACCACAAGGTGATGCTGCAGCATAGCAGAAATGCAAAAATGCATGGGATTCCCCTTGCTGTTCATCCTTCCATTTCCAAATAATGCATTTTTCTTGCACTAAAAAAGGCCACCAAAATGCTTGGAGAGCAGGGGAGAGGCCCCGGAGAATGGCGGCATCATGGAAAACGCGTGCAAAGCAATGTGACTGGGAAATTGAGCGTGCAATAAACGCCTTGTGTAGAGAAGTCCATATGCACAAGCGTATGGAGAGTAATATAAACATGTCAGAATAAGCCATGAAACTCCAACTGAGTGAAGTGTGAAGAAAAGAGAAAGCTTAAAATGACAGAGCTGTTTGCTTTGTCCTCTGTCTAGAAAGATGGAACATTTAGTGTCAGGTGATGTAACCCACTCCTTTGGATAAAGCAGGATTTGTTCCATAGCCAGACGTTTGGCCACATTTCTGCTTCACTGACAGGTGGCTGAAGTGGGAAATGGAAAGGGGTAATGGTAATGGTTATTTAATTAAAAATTAACTAAGAAAGCACTTTATCCCTCTCTCTGGAGTCAGGAGAAAAATACAAACTAGGACACATTAGCCAAGATGAACAGATTTTGTAACTTTTCTAGGGGAAATATGGGGACCTCAGGAAGAGACAGGAGTCTGTTCATTGTGAAGAACAGCCATGGTCCAGGTGGTCCTGGATGCTATCATAGGTAGCGTAGTCTTGTAGCATCACAGTGAGATTAAAGGCTGGCTTGCAAATAAAAGCTCCTGCCCAAAATGTGCCTGACTTTGGCAAATATTTACAGTAAACTGTTCCTCCTCCTTTACTTCTGGTGTTGCCCTCCATTTAATTTTTTTCTTCTCTTTTAGAGCATTGCTTTTCAGAAACATTCACCTTTGCTTTGCTTTTGTTCTTGTTTTTTCCTATTCTGAATGGGAGGGGGCAACTCCCTCTTTACTTCCATCCTGGACAACTAGGAGAAGAGCTGTGGAGGGCCACCCTCAAAATACCTTCCCTGGACAAATGTCTTGGTCTCTTTTTCCTGCCCGTTCACTCTACTCCCTGTCCTCTGAGCAGCAAGGTTTTCAAAACAGCCTCTATTACTTCCAGGACAAGCTTCTAAAAGTCCTAGTTTGCAGTAGGGGGGATTTTTCAGAGAAGCTGCAGTTAGGGCAAAGGATAAGCCCCCAGAATTCCCCCCTCTGGCAATTAGATTTGTAAAAAGCTTCCCATTTGGGGGCAGGTGCCGTACAAGGATGATTTTTTGGGGAAACAGCTGCAGTCAGGCATCTGTGTGTCTGCCTGGGCTGAGAGCTGGAGACTCAGTTCAGGTAACACGATAACCCACACTCAAAGATTGAGTGTTCATTGCAGTTGAAATGTGGGTTGTCTGATCACAAACCATGGCGAAGGATCCACAGTTCACAACCCAACAACAAACCATGAGTTCTCTTCCTGGGTTGTTCATGGCTTGTTAGCACAGCTGAGTTCAGACAACGTGAAAATGCACGGTTCAACAACACTCCAACAACAACACCCGCTGAGCCTTCGAATGATCTGAACCCAAACAGTGCCTGGCCTGAAATCATCCTGCAAGCTTCCTGGCTGAGTAGAGATTGGAGCCTGGGCTTCCCCCTGCCTGCAGGGATGTGTATGAGTGAATAGGGGGCAGGACAAGAGTAGCGGACTGAGAGGCTGCCCTGGCACTCCCATCATACGGCAATTCACTCCATCTATCAGTGTTACAGGAGGTGCTTCTGTTTGCCTGGTCCAAAGCTCTTGTTGATTTGCTGTATGGATGAGCCTTCTCTGAGCCCATTCACAAAGCTGTGTGGCCCTGACAGAAGAAGCTGCAGTAGACTGATCAGTCCAAAAAGCAATATAGGTGAGCCCAGCCTTTCAGCCTGTGACCATCCAGGCAGCTTGGACTGTGACGTTCATAATCCCTTCCCAGCATGCGCAATACTTGTGCTGGTGGGGGATGATGAGAGTGGAAGTCCAAACTACCTAAGAAAGGCTGTTGTATACTGAGACAAATGCACAGCAATTAATGGTACATGCTCAGACATGCTCAGTCGGCAGTTAAGTTTCTCTGAATTAAGTTGAGCTTACTCCCAAGTAAAGTAGTGGGTAAGGATTGCAGCCTCAATATTGTATAATCACAGTCTGGCTCTCACTCTTGCTTCGCTTCTACTGACTTCTCTTTTGTGCTTGCAGGATGGAGGACAAACTAATCCATCAACAGTGAGACAATCATTTGGTGGTGTGGGGAGAAACCTAGCAGGTAAATACATTTTAATTATGTTCTCTGGGTAGATTAGGCTATCTTCTTTTGCAAAGGTGAGCAGAAAGAACGTCTCCAGAGGTTTTGGTCTTCAACTCCCACATTCCTGATCCATGGCTTCTGGGAGTTGAAGACCAAAACATCTGGAGAACTACCTTTTGCCCATCCCTGCTGTAGGCTACTGTTAGTTTTAAGGCTTACCATTAGGACATCCTAAGCAATATCCCTTCCAGCCAGCTTCTTAGTCATGGAGGAGACAGTATAACATCATATCCTGCCTCTGGTCACTCATGGGGCTGAGCACTGCTGGAGACAAGAATGTTGGGTTGGTTGGACCTGGCATGATCCAGCAGGGTCAGTTCTTATGATGACACATGACTTGGCAATTCACCGGTGAAGGACTTCAGGACCATTTACCTATTTTGTCTTCTTTCTGACTGCTTGTATCCGTGATATTGCTAGTTTAGCAGGAATTTCTGAATGTAACCACAGTTGATTGAGTCAAGCTGCCATACACCAGATTGGATTGTTTGTCCACCTAGATTGACAGGTCTGCTCTAGGAGGTAGAGATCCTTCTTCAGCCAAATAAACTTTTGGAGACGCTCTCAGGGGCTGCATTCCAGTGCTGTGCAGAACTGAAGGCAGCAGGAGTGGAGCCAGCACCAACAAGACCACTTCTTAGGACAGAATGACAACTCTGTTGCATCTTAAAGGCTTTACTGCAAGTGCATAGGTCTTAACAAGGGCATGTCAGTCTTTTGCAAAGAAGGAAAAACATGATCTGTGGAAAATGGAAAGGAGGATGGGCCAAGGGAAGGGGGCCTGGCCAACCGAGGAACCCCTAGAGATGTGTGTTTGGTCCCTGGGCCTGAAGTTCTCCACTCCAGCTCTAGACTGACTGGCAAGCGATAAGAAGAGCCTCTACCTCCCAACTCATTCTCTCTGTTGGAGATGCCAGAGATTGAACCCAGGACCCTTGATCAGGGATGCTTGAGAATCTGATCTGTGCAAATTCTGACCTGACCAGACCTCTTCTGAGTTACCTGAGCTGATGCAGGGAGGGAGGGCCTTGGCCTGGTGACAGAGCACCTGCTTTGGGTGCAGATGGTCCCAGAATCATCTGTGGGGCCTCCAGTTAAAGGGCTCGTGCTGTAGCAGGAGAACAATCCCTCTCAGAGACCCTGGGCAGCCCTGCTAGTTGGAGCAGGAGAGGCAAATGTTCTGTGGCAGCTTCCTGCATAGAGCGCAGCAAGAGGTTAACTGAGCCTGTTCCCATGTGGTTGCTGTCCCAACATTCAGGCTGAAGGCTGAGGACATGCGGTCCAGCTTTGTTCTGTCTTCCTTTTGTTCTCAGATTGCTTAAGTCGTCTTGGGAAGACGCCTCTCTTTATCTCAGTCATGGGGAAAGACGAGCATTCAGAGTCCATCCTTCGCCACTGTAGGCACATGGTAACTCATAGCATGTGGTTGTTCTGAACTGCTCAGGCTAGTTGTTGCTATGAAGGCAACAATCATCCAACCTCAGCTGAGGTCCCGGTCTTGTGAACAAGTTGGCTTTGGTGCAACACACCATCATGACCTCTGGGCATTCTTGCTTTCTGCCATACGACGGATGCTAAAGCTTGCAGTGTGACAAGTGCACATGAGTTTCGAGGTGTCTGTGCCCAGCTCTCCTCCACAAAGGAGCTTGTGGCTATTCTGTGCTCAACAGTTCTAAAAATTTGTGCTCAGAAACTAGCCCAGAAAAGCGGGGCTGGCAGACGGCCTTTGTGCCCGAGAGGACGGATGGTCCCAATGCAGGGGCAGGGAACAGATGGGCTTCCAGATGTTGCCAGGCTCCAAATTGCCATCAGTCCCAGCTTGTATGGCCCGTAGTTGAGGATGATGCAGCCTGTGATCCAACAACATGCGGAAGGCCACAAGTCTCTCCCACCGTACCTTCATGCATGTTTAAGAGACACTGGTAGGGATGAGATGCAGGTGTATCCAGGCTGTGGGCACACGGAGAACTTGTGCCAAAGTAGGATAATTCCTCCAGGAGTGTTAATCAGGCCTCACTGAACAGAAAGCTAGCTTCTTTGGGCAGACAGGAAGGCCTTATTTGGTGTGGATCTAAAGGAGCCTGCATGGCCCTTTGCCCTGCAACGCCCAAACCTCAATGTGTTGAAGAAAGTAGCAGAGAGAAAAAATACATTTCACTGAATTTCCCTTTCCTTGCTTGAGGATATGAGAGGAGTCTTGCAACTGAAAGGACACAACACTGCCACGTACTGCGCTGTGATCACAGGCAGCGGAGAACTTGCTCTTGGCTTGGGAGACATGGACGTCCACCAGCAGATCACGGAGCAATATGTAAGGTCCTTCAGCATCCCTCTGTCCACAGGGCCTTTCCCAAACTCGGGGCTCTCCCAATCTGTTGGGCCGTGTGTGGCTGGGAATGGAAGGCCCAAGCGTGGGACGGCTAGGCCGCAGCAGTTGAATCCAGCACTCTCTTAGCTAATGCAGTCCCCCTGGCTCCTGAATATTCAGAGTAGCTGTGAGGGCGAGGGAGAAAGAGGAACTTTAGGTAGTTCTGGAGACAACAGAGAACAGCTGCCCAGGGGCCATTTAGGGCCGGTTTGTAGATGGCAGCATCCCCTTTTCACCATTCTGTGCATGGCTGTACAGGCAGGTAGAGATATCTTACTGTAAGGTGGATGATACAGAGAGAGAGAAAGCTGCCTGGTTCGAGCCACAACCAGCCCTTCTGAACTGGACCTGCAATTCAGAATCAATTAAGATCTGACGTCCTTCCCATTGTGTAAACATAATGCACATTGATGCAAAATTATGAGTCTGTGGAGAAACAATATGAAAGGGGGAGAGGGAACTAGGATCAGTTAGACTGCCCAGTGGGGCCAGTGGCACAGTACTGACTTGGGAGCTCCTTGGGGGCAGGGACCTATCTTACATTTGCTAAGTGCAAGCACTCATTTGTGGCATTGAATGGATCTCACTCAGGTATGGAAGGTCACGTGCTGGTCTGCTGGTCGGTCGCATGATCCTGGCAATTTGCAATGGATCGACACCTGAGCCACACATTTGCTCCATTTCTATCCTTCCTCCAAGGAGCTTGGGGTGATATAAGTGAGGCTGTCCCATGCTGTGCTTTGTCTTCTGACTGGAGAGTTGCCAGACATTCCCCATTTGCAACCAGCAGCTTCAGCATTAGGCTCAGATAATGGGTAGCTTCAGCCACCTACCAGGAGCCATTGCAGACTTCACTGCCTCCTCCAGTGAGCTTGTTCTTCTGAAGTCCACCACTGCGGACAGGCAAGGCTTTTGTCTCGCTCTGCTGCCTCCACCCACTACTTCTTCCAGACGTTGTTTTCTAGGATGTGCCAAAGTGCAGAAGCGCAGATCAACCAACCTGCCTGCTGGGGGAGGAGTGGTCTGGGGCACTAATGGAAGAGCTGATTAGGAGTGATTCAGGTGCAGCTCCACCTCTCCCTCCATTTATAACAACTGCTGGGAAAAAGCCCAAGTGACTGTACTTAACAGGTGCTGGTGTTTTGTTAAGAAGGCCCTGGCATGTCAGCAACTCACCTATCACCAAAACCCTTAAAAGACTGAAGCTTTATTCCGGTGAGGAAAAAAGTGGTCATTTTCCCCACCCTTTTCTGATCCCCATTTCATTATCAATGGAAAAAAGAAGGAGGTAAAACTATCAAATGAGATGCTTTTCCTTGGATCCCTGTAGAATAACACACAACAACAAAAAACCCTCAGAATGTTTGTCTGCCTCTACCTGTTGAAGAATGCTATGCTACAGTGATATTTAGCTTAGACGAGGAATACAAAGGCTGCGAAGGCAAGGGAAAAATTGATGTCACCCTCCAGTATATACGTAGGTTGAGTACTAAGTTAGGCTCATGCCTAGCTAGCTCCTTTTGTATGATTTGGGCTGAAGTCCTATGCATACATGGCATGTTCTTAAATCATGCAGAATGCTTTAAATTAGTGGAATGGAATCCTACATCTGTTGCCACAGAAGTGAGCCCTGCTGGTTTCAGTGGGAAGGATCTCTGTGTGCAGCCTTGGAGAACGGCTATAAGAAAGAGTGCAGAAAGTTTGCAGGGGCCCATGGAGGTGAAGTTTTCAGGGCTGGTGTTTCCTTCAGTGCAAAGCACACGTCCACCTGAGCCCGCTGGGGTGACTTGTGTCCCTGTAGCTTAAAAGTGCCCTCAATCATGATCATGTTACAACTGAGCTGTCTGAGGGCTGCCTGACCAGATTGGTTAGCAACTTGCTTCAATCACCGTGGAATGAGAGGAGAAAACACGAAAGTACTACTCTCCCGACACATGGCATGATCACACTATGTGCAGATTTAAGGAGAACAACACTAAAGATGCCAAGGCAAAGCCAAGTATCTGTCCATACAAATCGCGGTGGTATTATGCTAAATCAGAGGTGGGGAACGGAGGGTCCAAAGGCCAAATCCAGCCCTCTGGCCTTCCCCAAATGGCTGTGCCCCCTTTCATTTGGCCTCTGCACCCACTGCCATTCTGAAGGGTCGCAATGCGTCTCCTAAGGCATAGTTCCTGGCAGGAACAGCTTTGAGCTAAAATATGCTGGTATCTTGACCCACCCCTTTTGCCCTTGGCCCACCCACCACTGGAATGAGGCTCCTGGGAGCTTCTCTGAAAGTACATGTGGCCCCCAGAGTGAAAAAGGGTTCCCCACTCCAGTGCGATATTACAGCAGGGTGCTTTATCTTAACAGAAGCATCTAGTTCTCAGCGACCTCGTGCTCATTCCGCACAGCTATGGTAAATGAGTGGGCTGGCTGATATTTAGTGCAGAAGGGAGGGAAATAACATGGGGGATTGATATAATTTGGTCAACTTTCTTTCCCTGCGCAGATACAGCTATTGTTTCATAGCAGAGAAGCAACCAAAGCAAATTGAACATGCCCACCTACAGAATTCCCCTCCTTTGCTTTAGGAGGGGAGGGAATGTCTTACCAGCAGCATCAGTTCACCTTTTCTATTGCTAGTGTGCTTTGCTGTGATTTCCTCCAGGTGTCCAGATTTGAGGAGAAGCTGTGCTTGGCTCCACTCATGTGCATTGATGGAAATGTGCCTGTTTCCACCATTCAGTACATCTGCCGGATTGCTAGAGAACAACACCTGGCAGGTAGGAAGAAGCACCACACTCAGGCACAGATGTTAAGCTACACTTTCTCTCTCTGCATTTCTCTCTCTGCATTTCCAGTTTAGAGGGGAGAATACCAAAATCTGTATGTCAAAATAGCAGGTATACAAATAGGCCTAATGGACACTAGAATGGCCTAATGTTTAAGGTCAATTCATTTTCTATGGATCAGGGCCCCATTTGGTTTTGTTGTAGCTGCCACAAATTAACGCAAGGTGGCAGTAGCTCTAAATGTATCATTACAGTGTTAGGGTGCAATCCTATGGCCTCCCGACATTGTCTCCAGGGGAAGGAGGGTATAGGATAGGTCAGAATCTCAGCTGCAACCTCAGAAAAACACTCCAAAGTTGGAGGGGTTCCCACAACCTTGGAGGATCCCTCTGCTTCCCTTGTAACTGGCACAGTTCTGGGCTGGGGCATCCCTGGAGCTGGTGCAGGGAGGTGTTGCAGTGGCATGAAGAGGAGAATTGCAGTGCACCCTCCTCTCAGGACTCCTGGCAGAGTCTCAGCCTCTCGACATCTAGAAGTCCTGGAGTTAAAAGGGCTTCAGATAGCCCCAGGGATGGGCCTTTAGTTCATTCACACTTTCCCCCTCCCCTGGCAGTTGATTGGTGAAAGCCTCCAGCTCTTAACCAGGTTTAGCCATTGCAAATTTAAAAGACCCTGCTAGATTATAAGCAAACAGGAATGATCTAGTGCAGTGCCTGCTTCCCACAGTGGCTGCACTGTTAGCACCTTGGACATATTAATACTCAGGGCTTACCAGATGTGTTGGGTTACAACTTCCAGGATCTCCACTGAAAATTATGGAAGCTGTAACAGAACACATCTGGAGTACAGCAGCTTGGAGAAGTCTGCTTTTTAATGGCAAGATGGTGGGGATGAAGACAGAGAGATCATTAAATAAAATACTGTGCTTCAGAAGTGTCAGATTGGTTAATCTCCCCCAATATTCTTCTGAAGTGTGGTATGAGCCGACAGATGTGAACAAGGCCTCTAAGCCATTCCATTCGGACAGCTGGACAGCCCTGACCTGCACATCTCCCAACCTACGGGAACTCAGAGCTATCAATCAGACCCTGGGACATCCTGTGCCAGAAGGTAAAGCTTCACTTTTGTGAATGGCAGTGAAGAAGAACAACGTAGACTGTCTTTGAGCAAGCCAGATTGTGGCCAGACTAGTTTAGGGTTGTTAATTCTGACTGGGAGTTGCTCTGCACAGTCTTTCCCTGTTCTGCCACCTGGGGCAATTGAGCTGGAGATGCTGGAACCTTAAGCATGCAAAGCATTTGCCCTGCCACTCAGATATGGCCTTTCCTGGGATTGTGGTAGTCCTGCTGGCTGTGATAGGATCTTCTGCACGCCTAGTTTTTAAAGGCCAAAAGCAGGCACAGGGGCATGATTCAGATTGGCACTGCAGTATACGGGGAGGTGCATGCCAGCCTTTTTCCACAGGCCAGTGCCCAGCCAAACTGCCCTCTCCGCAAGCTACTTTTGCTTTACTCCTTGGATAGGAGGCACCAAAAGGGACCATCTCCTGGTATCACCTCTTGTCTGATTCTTAGTGCAGATGCTTGGATGGGGACATCTACCTCCTCCATTCACAGCATGCACACTGGGAAAGCCACTGCCCCCACAACCATTCCAGAAGCAGAAATTTCAGCCTTGTCTTTGTCACTGGGGTGGCCAAATGCCCTACTTCACAGGAACAGTCCTCTGTTGGAGGGCTGTTCAGTCCAAGTCAGCTTAATGATAAATCACCCAAAGGAGAAGGAGTAATTGGCGCCTTGAAGTTGCCCCTCCACTGTTAGTGCCACCAGGAGCACAGGATGAGCAAACAGGCAGCTCAAGGTCTTCCTTGCTAGAGTAAGCTATGATTTGCTTCTTTTTAAATTGCAGCAATAATGTCTAAATTTGCATCTAGAGAGAGCATAAGCAAACATGAAGCAAATCTGTCCTCTGTCCTCATTTTTGTAAGGGGTTGCATTTTCTTTGTTTGCCTGCTTTGACAGATGTGAAACTAGACAAAACTGGCCTAAAATGGATGCCACAGAGGTTGGTCTGCATTTTGGGGCTGTTTCTGACAGCCATGTTCTTACCATTTTATGGCTTCTGCATTGAACAGCACAACTCCAGAAAAGGCTCTGGTTAGTTGCCCAAGTTGTGGAGGTGACATTTCTGCTGCAAAATCAGCCACTCTGGCATGGAGGTGCTTGTGTCACATACCTCACTGGGCCACCAAAGCGTATACTCTGAAGGTGTCCACAGTTTTGGTTAGGATCAGGAATGGAATGAGCTCAGGAGCTGAAGACCAAACAGAGGAGGTCCAGAGGATGGTAGCCAGAGGGAAAAGAGGCTAGACCTTTCAGCTGAGATGCTGGTGAGCAGAGCCGGTGCCTCCTTAAACTAGCTACAACCAGGACCCCTTGTCACATTCTTCCTTTCACTACCCTCTCCACAGTCACATCCAAATGGGGAGTGCTGCCAGGCCCCTACTCCTGGCTACTTCCGGAGTGAAAACTGCATAGTCCACTTGAGAGCAACTACCACCATCTCCAGTGTGGTGCCTCCAGATAGGCTAGACCACAGCCTCCATCATGGTGGCTCTGAATAATGGGAACCGTTGGAGAGCAGCAAGTTGAGCAAAGGTTGTGGGGAAAGCTACCTGCTCCTCTACTCCTAGCCAGTTGTTTTCTCTTCCAGTTCCTAATATATAACTCCAGGGAAAGTTCAGGTCAATGACTTTTCTGTCTGTGATGCTGTGTGACTGGTTTCATCCCCTGAACTCTAAAGCTCTGCCATCGAAGCTGGAGGACATGCTCGAGGTGGCTGCAGGCCTGGCTTGCCCTTTGCTGAAAGAGCTGCACTGCGTGGTGGTAACATTGGGCCAACATGGAGTACTGGTGTGCGGCCGGGATGTCGGTGGCAGTGTCTCTCTTCACCCTGGAACCAGCACTAAGGTAGTCTCAGGAAGAGGCAAAGAGGAAGGAATCAAGGTGGAAAAATGTATGGTGGGAGCATGAAAACATTTAAAGAGTGGGTAACAAATAAGGACATGGTGGAAATGCCTCTGCTTGGTATAGATTGAGTGATGGCCTCCACTTTGGGTGGCTTTAAAAGGGGATTGGACAAGTTTATGGAGGAGGTTATCAACAGCTACTAGTTCTGATAGCTCTAAGCAAAGTCAGGTATCAGAGGCAGTGTGCCTATATGCCCCAGCTGCTGAGAAGGAGGGTGTTGCTAAATTCTCATCCTGCAAGATGAATGGCTGTTGTGTGCACAGAATACTGGATGAGAGGGCCCCTTGGTCAGGTCCAGCATGGTCTTAACAGGCTTAAATATTGTCAGAGAATTCTATGCCCCCTCATAAGGGTATGGTTCCCAGCATTCCTTGGGGGAAAGCCATGCGAACTGAACCAGTTGCAATACAGGTGAAAACTTGCTTTTGGCTGAGGAAATACAATACTCTGGAGGAATAAAGACCATTAAAAGCATTATCCTAGTTCCTCTTTAGTTTTTTGAGACTTCAGGAATTTCCAAAAATTATCCATAACCACAAGGATTGGTAAACTGCCATTTAACTCAGAGATTTCAGAGTAGGCCATGTCTATGTCATGAAGTATAATTCCCATCCAAAAAGTTGACATTGTGGATAACCATCTGGAAGCATGAAATGTGGTGTTTTCCCAGCCCCCCATTAGTTTTCTTGTTTCGGGCAGACCATCTACTACCTCTAGTCCACTATAACCTTTCCCTGAGCAGACTCCATTGGAATGAATAGGGCAGTTCCCCTCTTATGCCAACTCCACTTACTTTGCAAGGGCCTGTGCCTACAACTGGGGACTTCCTATCTGTAGCTTTTGTATGAAGCAGCGTTCGCCAACCTGGAAGCAACTTCCCAGTATGTAGGATTTAGCACCTTGCCAGGCAAGGCTGAGGGAGGTGCTGGCTCAAACACCTGGAGGGCACCTACTTGGGGAAGGCTTCCTGACTGCTTTTTCCTCCAGCCTCACTTTTTTGCATACTCTCTTGTATCTCCACGTACAGAGTGCTTCAGGGGAGCTGTGTGCTGTTCACTACCCAGCCATCCCTGTCTCTGCTGAGGAGATAGTGAACGTCTCTGGGGCCGGTGACAGGTATGTTGTGAATTGCCCCGAGAGGCTGGGGCCCTCACAGCCAGCTCCTCCTCCTCCTCCTCCTCCTCCTGCTGTTTGGTCCCTTCCACCTTGGTTGCTGTGGCAACATAACAGGGCACATGCATGTACACGGCATCACTAAGGAAGAACAAATCAAAATATTTATCTAGAGGTGGTGAGAGATGGGAAGATTAGGCTAAGTGGTCGTTTTCCTGAGCCTTTTGTGCAGGAGCACGTCGGCAATTAAGTTTCAGCAAGAGGCTCACATCTTTTGCTCCATGTGCCTCAAGATGCAGCCATTGTAAGAAGCACCTGGGCCCTCTTCGAAGCACAACCAGTGACAGGGCAGGGGGCAGGTCTGGAGAGTCAGATGCAACAGGCGTCTTCAACACCTTTGCCTCTTAAAACAACATTCTTGATCGACTAGCAGCCAGGCCCATGGAAACCACTCGGAGCTTCATGGGTTGCAAGCAGTGACTTGTGGCACTTCAGCCAGATGCAAAAGTACATTTTGCTGCAGCCTTCCCCAGGGCACAAGGCTGTGATCTGGAGTCATAGAATCATAGAATAGTAGTTGGAAGGGGTCATGAAGGCCATCAGGTCCAACCCTGTGCTGTTGCAGGACACCAAGTCACACCATCCCACTCAGATGGCTGTCCAGTTCCTTTCTGAATGTCTCTAGTTTGGGAGAGCCCACCACCTCTCTAGGCAGCTGGTTCCACTGTTGTATTGCTCTGACAGAAGCTCTTCCTGATGTTCAGCCTGAATTTGGATCGTTGCAACTTGAACTGATTATTCCGTGTCCTACAGTCTGGCATCAGCAAGAAGCGATCTTGACCTTCCTCTTTGTGACAGCTTTGAGGTACTTCTAGAGGGATACCATGTCGCCCCTCAGTATTTTCTTCTCAAGGCTGAACATGACTAGTTCCCCCCAGTCTCTCCTCACAGGGCAGTATTTCCAAACCCTGGATCATTTTGGTTGCCCTCCGCTGGATCCTTTCTAATTTACCTACATCTTTCTTATGTGTATGTTTCAAACCAGTTTCCAAATATGTGGGAGTTCCTTTAACTTGCTACAGCTTCTCCCAAGATGCCTGAGCATCGGTCCTTTTGGATTCTCAGGGATGGTGTCCCTTGCCTCTTGACTGCACCGCAGCTCCTTTCCTGGTAGCCATGATAGTTCGCTGGCTTCTTAGGAAAAGCTATCTGCATTTTCATGACAAAAAGGGGCCCAAAGATGCCATGCAAGAAATGTAGCTCAGAACAGGGTCCTTACTGTGCCAACTTCTGTAATATATAATACCAGAGCGGTCTCTACCTTAGCCCTGGTTCAAACACCACTTAGCAGTGTTAGCCCCAGGTTTTTGAAAGTCTTTGCACAAGACATCCATCATGGGGCCCTTTCTGAGCAAGTCCACCTTCTCAGTGCCATCATCATCAGCTGCTCTTGCTCCTCTTCCTACCTAAAAGAGTAGCTATTGGCATGGGAAAGCACCGTGTGATGATATGGAATCTTTGCTCCTGCGTCTTTCCGGAATTCTAGGGAGCTTTGACAGCACCGGGAGTGCAATTCTGAGCCACTGTTCTGCCCTGAGAGACAGAGCCTGATCCATTTGGCTTTTTTCTATTAGGGTGTATCTATCGTACAGCCTCCCTGCAGATACCCTGAGAAATGTAGTTCTGAGAGCCGGGTAGGGATTTATTCCAAAGACTCCTCAAAACCCTTCCTCTGAAGTACTATTCCTAGGATTTGCATGTCAGGATGGAAGGGCTGTATGTGTACACAGGGAACCATCACAGTAAAGTAACATTAACATCAAGCTAATATAAAATTTTGATTTCAGATGCTGGAAAGCTTAGGGCCGGCATCATATTGAAGCAGGGGGTATTGGACTGGGACTAGTGAGAGATGAGTTCAAGCCCCCAGCCAACCATCAAGCTCACTTTTGATTCCTAGCCTAGCCTACCTCACAGGGTAGTTGTGGGATGAAATGCAAAGGAGGGGATCAAGGAGGGATAAGAACTAATCAAGGTGAAATGACTTCATCTCTCTCCAGCTTGATGGCTGGAATCATTGCAGGGCTGCTTGCTGGGGAGGACACGGATTCCTGCATCCGGATGGGCCTCCTCTCTGCCAGCCTCTCCCTCTGCTCTTATGAGCCTGTTTCGCCAGAGATCGACAGCACCAGTGTGAATGCAGCAAGGCTGAAGACGCAGCAATGGCCCGTGCCGAAGAGGTGGAAAGTGCCCGAGGCCTGCCAGTGGCACCTGGAATAGGCGCAGGCACCCTAATTGTCCTTCCTTCCAACTTGTGCTCTTCTCTGAACCGGAACCAGGGATATTCTATGCACATGCCAGGCAGAGAAGAGGAAGATTTGCCACCTATTAATTTCTCTCTTTCCCACTCTCCTGTCCCAGTCACTATGGCCATCATGCAAAACCACCTAAATTCTGCACAAAAAGAACTGTGGAATTCTACAACCTGTATCAGTCATGCAAAGCAAAACAAATGTGTGAACATTTCTGAAATATGCGTACGTTCTCTTTCTGCTAGTCATGGGAAGAAGGCAGTATGTTATACATACAAGGAGGTAAAGAGCTGTCTCCTTACCACCAGTTGCCCTACTATTTTGTAGTGTGCTTGGACATTTTGAAATGCAGGCATTCATCGAACCAGTCCTCACAGCCAAACCCCCAAGAAGCACCCAAAAAATTCAGGCAGCTGTGTTACATAGAAACATAGAAGCTGAAGGGGTCTCCCGGGGCCATCTAGTCTGACCCCTGGCTCCAGCCGGCTCTGCTCATGACATGCCTAACATGTGCATGTCCCGCCTATCCTTGAACACCTTCACTGATGGGGCTTCAGCCACCTCCTGTTGAAGCTCATTCCATACCCTTGGGTTTCTAACTGTCAGGAAGTACTTCCTGGCATCAAATTGAACCTTGGCTCCTTGCTTGGCTCTCTTGGAGCGCATCTTGCCTTCCTCTGCAGCGGAGAACAGGTCTCTACCCACCTCTGTGTGACACCCGCTAACGTACCTATATGTCACCAACATATCCCCTCAGTCTCCTCTTCTCCAGGCTGAAAAGAACCAGTTCCCTCACCCTCACCTCATACGGCTTTCCCTGCAATCCGGCCACCATCCTTGTGGCCCTGCGCTGCACTGACTCTAACCTGGCTATATCCTTCCTGTAATGTGGAGCCCAGAACTGAACACAATACTCCAGTTGTGGGTGCACCAGAGTTGTACAGAGTGGTAGTAATACCTCTCTCGCTCTAGAAGCCACGCTTCTGGCTATGCAACCAAGGATGACGTTCACCCTTTTGACCATGTCACACTGCTGACTCATGTTTAGCCTGCAGTCAACCAGCACCCCGAGGTCCCTTTCACAAGTGCAGCTCTCCAGCCACTTGCCCCCTAGCAACTCTACCAGAAACAAGCCTTTTGCAAAGTTAATGGGCTTTAATGGCCTTTTCAGGGCCAAGCCATCCCAAAACACTTTCAAGGAATAATAGTGTTGCTGGGAAAATTTATTCTACCTGCTGTGTGGACTGCAGTTAAAGAAGGAACAAGAAATTCTGAGGGGACGTGGCAGATGACTTCAGCAGCCCTGGCAACACAAAAGTGATGGGGCTGTGTGTCTATGAGCCCCTCCGCCACTGCCATTATGTTAACTTGGGAGCTTTGCTTCTCAGGCATTAGTCATTTGCTGTAAAGTCTATGAACCTGACCGAGCTAGTCACTACTAGAGCTGCAACTTCATGCACATTTGCGGGAAAATGAATTCCATTATCCACAGTGGAGTGAACTGTTATAGCAGTGGTTTCCAACCTTTCCACAGCTGAGGACTGGCAAAAACAGGAAAACCACCTTGAAGACCGCTGAGACAGAAACAAAAAGCGCCATACACATTAATACAGTATTCTGTATATTAGTTTCTGAACACAATGCCAAAAGAAAGAAAATTCTCCAAAACAACCAGAAACTGAGCAACAAAAAATGCCAACAAAAGAACAAAAGCGCATCTCCATGCTGGCTCCCATTGAACCTTCTCTCCCCTCCCTGGACCCGCCAGCAGCACCAGGCACCAGCGCACCCTCTCCCACCCATGAACGCGATGCCAACCAAGGAAGAGGTGGTGGGGCACAGCCACCCCCGTGCCAGTCCATGGTGTGTAGGATGCGGCCCCCTGACATGGACCAGTGGTTGAAAATCACTGATTTATAGGATGCATTTGCAAGTCCCATTGAAAATTAATACTGGCAATAATATAAGCTCCTATTTCTCATAACAATGTTTGTAAATTTTGTAGTGTTGCTACGAAAAATAGGACCTTACCTTGTTGTAAAGGCATGCAAAGCTGAGGTCATAAATGTGTTTAGGGACAGTGCCTTATCTATGTTTTGCTTATAAACATTGTAAAACACTTGTAGAAATCATAATGCTACAGAAATCACGGGAGAGTAGCCACTGGTGACCAATTAAAGAATACATCAGAGAGAATGTTGGAGACCAAGGATTTTTGAAGTGGCTGCCATGCTACACTTCAAGTCTTGAAGCAGGTGAGCAGGTGAAGCCATGGCATGTAAAGCATTTCATGTTATCGGACATCAGATGAAGGAATAAAGCAAAACCTCTTGAAGTCAAAGGGTACGAGGCAGCAGAAATTATAACATGGGCCAGAGTGAAGTCTGAAGCAAGTTTATCTTCCAGACTAGTCAACAGCTTGTGATTTCAAATGATGGTGCGAGACCAGTGGGAAAAAAGCTATACTGAACTATAAAGTAAAAGTAGAAAAAAATGGATATTTTACGTTTTCTATCCTCAGGAAGAACCATTAGAAATAAAGGGAATTTTTGCACCATCTTTTTGTGTAAAGGTTTGTGCAGTGACTTTATAATAGGCAAAATTCGAACTAGGCTCTTCATCTCCATCAAGACACCATGTTAATGTTTTAACTGATTTATGCAGCGGATGGGATAGGAAGTGATGTTTCAGCACCTGTGGTCCCAGAAGAAGAAAGTATTCAGCCTTGCCTGCCATCTGGCAATATAAATTTTTATCCTTTCTCTTGGAGATTAAATACAGAGGAAAATACTTTTTGTGGGTCACTTGTTAGCATCCCAGGTATGTGCTGCAGTTCTGACCATTTTGCTGTCTTGAGCACCACACCATAGGAGGCAAGACACCCCCAGCCCAGCCTCTTGCAGAGGCAGTACAACCTGAGCAAAGTCCTGGGAGCCTCTGCAATCCTGCAAGAAGTCTTAGTCCACAAATGCTATCTGATTGTATGTCCAGCCTTAGTAGAAACTGGCTTGCATGTGGAAAAACTAAGTAAGGGAGGTGTTCTCAAACTTTTTATCCACAACCCCCTTGAGAATGATCTCAGCTAACAACTTAATTTCTTTTGTTCTTCAAATCAAAGTGCATGAATCAAATTTTAAATAACCAGTTTTGCTTTTAACTGATTTCTGGGTGGGTGGGTGGGGGGGTGGGGGAATAATGATTCCAAGGCTGTATTATAAAAATCACAGGCCATAAACCAGGCTGCTGTTAGCTTGTTCAGTAATCTGATCCTGGCCAAAGGGAAGCATGATCTTTTATCATCAGAAAAAAAATAGTAAATGGAAGGGCAGCTACAAATATTCCCAACCTTTCCAGCTTGTGAATGGTGCTCAAGGAGCACATGACCACCTCTGGCCTAAGGAGTTGCATATTAGCAATAAATTACATTATTAGAATGCGGATGAGGTTTGGAACTGATGAATGTCAAAGACTTCTTTCTCCCAGTAACCAGTTCCAGGGAAGTGAACATTAGTTGCAGTTAGGGAAGCAGGTGGGTTTTGTTTGGGCTGCATTCTTAGGAAAACTAAACCAATCCTTACTTTCTGGGCTAAGATACAGAATGTGATTCTTCAAATTGTACACTTCTCCAAATTTTGTGAAAGAACTTATGGCTCAAAAGTGCAGACATGCACATTTTGGGAAACATAAGCAGAAGAATGCATATTTTAGGGGACAATTCATACAAAAAGTGCACTTTATACAACATGTGCATGTTTATGCAGTTTTCAAACACACACACAAACACACACACACACACACACACACACACACGGAGGGAGGGAGGGAGGGAGGGAGGGAGAGAACAGCTGCAAAACTGACAATTAAAATAGCTCCATCTTCCCATCCTATTTTCAACAGATAAGAAGTGGCCATGAACTAGAATGATCAATACCTCTGAAGAGGCACTGAGATCAAGCTGTACCCTGTTCATCAGGCAGATACCTCGCCCAGCCTAGACAAGTATTTCTACCAGCAAAGCTCACTTTGTGCCTTCGAAGCACCTGCTTGGCTGAAAGGAAAGAAAAATGTTCCATTATCACAACACTGGGGAAAGATGGCATTAGGTGCACTTGGATGGGAGTGTGTGTTTGCCTGTACAAAGGCATTGGGTGTTGCTAGATGGGGGTGGCAAAAGAAACAAGGAGGGAATTTTTCCAAGCAGGAGGCGCAAGCTAGAATTTCAGTGTCATAAAAAGAAAAAGGGGTGTGTGGGGGAGAGGAGGTTGAACCAGGAACTTGGGTGCATAAAAGAGCTCCAGCCATTCATGTAGAGCCCGAAAAGGAGCATGCTCACACCACCTGCATGTGTGGCTGCTTCGCATCCCTCCAGCAAGCTCCAAGGGAACAGCATCCCCTTTGCCCAGATAGCCAGGAGAGAAAAACCCCAAAGCACAGGTATGAAGTTTTCCAAGGTGGCCACCCTTGCTGTGCTTTCAGTGCAGTTTTGCTTCCTGACTAAAGCCGGTGGGAAGCCAGCTGGGAAAGTGCCTCTTCCTGAAGAGGACTCTGCTGGGGCTGCAGTGCTCAAGGCGGCTCTCAGCCCATCGCCCGAAGAGGCAGATGAGAGAAGGCAGCCTTCTGCTGGACTGTGGAAGGCAGTGGCTGATGCCAGAGCCAGTGGTGGTGCCCAGGATAAAGGGGCAAGCAAAGCTCTACTGGGAACCAGCAAGCCGAAGGTCAGTGGCAAGAGGCAGATGCTCCAGCCGCCCCTGCCGAAGAGCAAGACCCCTGGACTCCAGACCCACTTGAAAGGTTACGGGCAGTTTAATGCTGACACGGTGAGTAAAAACCTCTTCTGCGTATGTTCCGGTTGCTTCTCTGTCAAGAAAGAAATGCCTTCAGTTTCCAAGTGTGAAACTTAGATTAGCTAATTATCATAAAGCAGAGGAGGCCAACTTGCAAGGGAGAAGAGCAAGGAAGCCACAAATCAGCTCCCAAGCATGACATGTTGCCGCTGTCGTGGATGCTGTGCTGGCAGTGGTGCAGGGAAAAAATCTGCAGTGTGGGGGCTCATTGTGATGTGCCCCATAGATATGCCCCTGAGGAGAATCCACGCATGCATTTTGGTGGTTCTCCTCTCAGCAGGTCTTTTGTATAGTGGATGGGTCTTCATTGCCTATTCAGGAGGAAGCTACTGAGAGC